GTGAAACTGTGGCAGATGCTTGTGTTAACTTCATCCGAGTGGTTCAATGTGCCTTGCTTTTTTTGTATATATTATATAGCACAAACATATTTGTAGTCTGGCCAAGAGTGTGGTTTCACAGCTTTGTTCTTAGACTAAGGTCAGTGGCTGGAGCTCGGTGTGAGGGAACAGTATTGGTTTTTCAGAGGATAAAGAAGTCAGAGCGACAGACAGGAGCCCGAATGATGAGAAACCTGCTTTGCCTCCTCAAAAAATGGAGCACCGTCTGTAATTCTCTCTTCTGATCACCAATGCACCAAAGTCCCGGCGTGATCCCCCTCGCTCCTCTGCTCTCCTCTTCCTAACTTCCTTTCAGGGTCGTACAATGAAGCTATTTGCATCTCTCCAGGTTGCTACAATACTCTGCCAACCCAACTTGAAATGTGTTGCCTTCACTTTGAAGGTGAGTCTCCAGAGGAAACCAGCTACAGCGGGAAAGAAAAGACCTAACAAGTCAGCCTTTTTCCCTTAATTTGGTGAATGGGTGACATTTCGCTGGGTGTGTGGTAAAACCCACATTGTGTGCATGAGTGTTTTCAGAGTGCCTGAATGGCTTAATGAGGCCGTTAGTTGCTGTTGACTCGCTACCATATGTGCATACATCAGAAAGCCCCGAAGCCAACACTGTTCTTATCCCTCATTCATAATGGTTTGCTTTTGAAGCTGTGTTTGCAACGAGCGTGCAACAGACATTGAGAGAAATTACGCTCCCGCTGTGATGATGCAGATTAATGCCGAGGACGATGCAAAACCTCGTTATTTGGGCGACGCGCACTCAATTCCCAAAGAATAGTTTTTATCAAATGGCGCCATTTGTGTTTTATTGTGGGGTTTATTTCATTGTCTGTCCTCACTAAACAAGGCTCTCCCACAGGAGCATTTGAATGAGCAGTTAGAAAGCTGTCAGGCCTCAGACAGATTGTTCCCCATGGGGAGTTGATGCATCGGGGGACAGGAGGCATAAATGAAGTCATATCGCAAACCCTCAAGCCTTATTATTGTACAATTGCGCTCCGCTAAGTTCCGGCCCGCCTCGACATCCTCTGGGATATTTCTGGCCTTTGATGAAGCTCGACTGATGACTGGCACTTGCCTCCCACCTATGTCACCTCCTCTTGGCGGATCCTTCATTGTGATGCTGCAGCGTGGCTGAGCTCTAACAAGCCCCGCAGAAACAAGGACAGAAATCCACTCTTCACTTTGAGAGATTCTCGGTTTTAAATCAGGCTAATGCTCGCTCTCAAGGAGGTTTTGTTAGGGGGTGTTTTAATGCCTTTCCTTTCCTTGGCAGAGTCCCCACTTCTCACCAGGCATGATGGTTTTTAATGGTTCCTGCCAGGCCTCGTGCCCCTCCCTCACCCCGCTGCTCCATCCATCTCATCCCGCCTCTGTCTGAAATTCAATTGACCTTTTGTTCCACCTCACAGTGAATGGGCACAGGCCAACTCCACCAGTAGCCTATCCAGAGCTCTCATTTCTCTTTATTTGATCTGTCCTGCCGAGTCCACTGCTTTCATTACCTACCCAAACACCCCGCTCCGGCCGACGCATCCTCCCCTCAGCAGCTACATCCTCTTTTATCACCGATAATGTCTTTTTCACTGGGGGAAAAACCACTTTCTCCCCTTTGGTCGTTTCCCCGTGTTTTTGATTGTTATGGTGATTGGAATTTATTTGTGCTTTTAAACAGGTTTTTTTTTTTTCCCCCCTCAGTGGACTTTTTTTTTTTTTTTGACTTAGCAAAAGTGCTGATGTAGCCCTGCTGTCGCTCCGAGCAGAAAGAGCTCGAAATGCTGCTCTGCGACGAGACCTGTGGGGACTGGGACTTGCCAATCACGCTGATCTGGATTCCAGTGATCTTATATTGGTGTCTTATGACATTTCAAGTCAAACAAGGACTGTTGTCTCAACTTTCCCGCATCAGAAATGTCATAAGAATTCAGTTTTCTCTAATCATCACCAGCTTCAGCACCCTAACCTCACCCTGTTGTCACAGTCAGTGGGTTTCTTTTTCTCCCTCCCCACTCCTAAACACTCCGTTTCCTTTATACCCCAGTTTTAACCTTAATACAAATCTGCTTCTCTGTGATACATATTAAAGACTCACTTCAGCAGCGGCAGCATCTCATGTGTGACCGCTGCCGATCAAAGCTTTCTGTCATAGAACGTGAGCTTTGCTGACTGTCGGGCTTCCTTGTGATTGGGTTTTTGGTATTGGTGTGTGTGTATGAGTGTGTGTGCGTATTTTAGCCTTGCTATCTCAGCAGTACAGAACAGTAGCAATCTTGTATTAATATGATGAACAGGGGGCTATGAGCTCCTGGAAACTTCCTGTAAGGTGAAGATTGAAACCAGCTCTGTTTTTATGCAGTTTTAAACACATTTTAGATCCATCAGGAGAGCGTAGATGATCGGATCACTTTTGGCTATAATCAAATTAACTGTTTCTAAATCTTTTGACTCGTGATCAATAATTACAAAACAGCCCAGCAGTAAATTTTTTTTATTTTGACTGGATTTTTTATAGTAAGTGTGTAAGGATTTATATTACATTTCACCAATAAATGACATCCTTGTAAAACTACAGCATCTGACGGAGACACAGCCTCCTCCTGTAATGGCACTTCTTTTAGGAATTGATTTGCAGGACTCCATCCTTCCTGAATACAGCCAGTTTGAGCCGGGTGGAGTATCTTTCTGCCACTTCAGCGCTGCGGTCATTACTTAAACCCTGCATCAGACGTCAGAGCTGAAGCACAGAAGAAGAAAAGGGAAGACACACATGGTTTTTTATTAAAACATTTTTGTACAGCCACCCTTTGTGTCAAGATGAAAAAACTTGGTTTTGCTAACAAAAGAGGACAGGGAGGCTTTTATTTACTAGAAAACAGGGTGAATATGGATTAAACAAATGCTAAATTTAAGTAAAGTGTGTGGAAAGCTGTGCATTCATAGTCTGGAAATAAAAATGTTGCATTGTGGTGGTCAGAGCTTTTCGAGTTATTCTCTTTGGTTGTCGTCGTACATCACCATTGTCGTTGTTCATCCTTCCCACTGGCTGCAGTGCCACAAAACACACATTTTTTACATAATCACAGTCTGTCCATCTCTCATTCCCTTCATTCTCCAGTGATGTTTTTCTCTATATTAACTTATTAAATTGTGATCAACAAATTTAGTTCAAGATGATTTTATGTACCTGAGATAATCTGTATGTAGATTAAAGTCAATCATGATCATGATTGGGATTTTCATTATGACAAGACTTTATTAACACATTTGGCTGAACTGACTTCTTTTTTCTCATTTAATGAAATAATGCTATAAATGAGTTAATTTTCTTAAATAATCAGCTATTGATTTTTCATGATCCATGATATTATAATTATTAATTATAATGACATGTTATTAAAATTATTATAAGGTCTTTTATTACTCTTTCTTGCTGCAGCAATGGATATTATGCACAATCTTTTCTCCTTTTGATGTGTCTTGGAGTATCACATAGCCATAAATGCCTACACAGCATTTCTTATAATCACATATGTTGGATGTTGTTTGGTCTTTTTTCATCCGTGCTTTTATGTCTCTTCCATTTTCCCATAAAGTCATGCTCTTTCATCCACAGAAAAGCCATAAAGGTTACACATTGTAAACAAAACTGTTCCTCTCTCTGGGAGCCACAAAAGTGGCAGTTCTTCATTGTGTGGACTGTGATGGGGCTGCAGCTGGTCTGTTGCAGTGTTCTGGGTTTTGAAGGCAGGTCACCATTGGGAAGCCGGCTGAATGATGGGGGATGTGAGCCGCGTGCGGCTATTGTCGGCTCATCCCGTCACGAACAAAGAGAACCCTGCGATGCTAAACATGCTGTAGCCCTATTGTGCAGACTCCATTTGCCTCACCAGACAAAGGCGCGCTGCTCTTTAACAAGCTGCTCATTGTGTCACATCTGAAATGAAGCAATTGTGTATCAAACGTGAATCACTGAGCTTATGTCACCTTAAGAAATTAAATGTAGCATCAGAGGTGTTTAACATAGCGAATTAGCAAACATTTGATTAACTGATTTCTGCGTATTCCGAGGGCTGTCAAATGTGGAATTTTGTCATCAAAAGGGCTGGGATTTATGAGCGTAGCTTTTGCAGTCATGCAGATCAGGTCCACACAACTCCCTAATGGGGGCAGGATGGCGTTTGCTCACACGGCTGCAGACACGTTTCCCTGAGAGCCCAGATATTTTTTACAAGCCTCCTAATGAGAGCTGTGAGAGGGCAGACGCTATGCAACCCAGTGGCTTGTGGGAGTGCAGAAGCACCACCCTGCCTTTCGAATTCAGATAGAGGTACCAAAATGAAAAGTTGGAGTGGTAGAAGAATTTGTCTAAAAAAAAAAAAGCTGGATTTTAAAACTGACAACAGTTACTAAAGAAGCGGGAAGATGAATGAGCTGAGAAAAATAAGGGGCTCAGCTTTTAGTTTGGCCTTTATGCCGGCTCTCACTGCAGTATCAAGATGAGTATGGATTACGTGCTCAGGTCCTCCAGCCTTCTGCCCACGATAATTCACTTTCGTGTGTGTGTGTGCTATCCCGAGTAACTCCTCAACATTCCTCGTGAAGCCCTGTGATAAAGGGAGCAGCTGTGTGAAAGCCCAGGAGAAAACAATAGGCAAGTTTGGGTGCTTAGCTGTGAAGATTAAGGCTCATTTGCATCTGCAGAGTGCGTCCAAGCTGCAGCATGTCCAAGTGCACGTCAGAGTTCCCACTTTAACGTGCTGTGCATGTATTCTTCGACCTTTAGATCACCTATCAGGACGCGCGCGCGTGTTTCTAATTGACAGGAAAAGCCATATGGTTGGGATGAAGACCCTCGTGGGGTTAAATTTGGTTAAAAACACGTACTCGCAGGAGTTCCACAGAAGACATCATGACCTTATACCATATGCTACTGTGTGTCCGCAGGTTCTTCGTATTACGACAATGTGAGGCCGCTGGCATATCCTGACTCAGATGCGGTTCTCATCTGTTTCGACATCAGCCGCCCAGAGACTTTGGACAGCGTCATAAAGAAGGTCAGTGTTTTTAACTCTATTCCATTCCGTGTTCCTTCACATCAGCATTTAAGATCCGCATATCTGCTGTGACACAGGACTACCAACCAGAGAACAAACCGAAAAAAACAACACATTTTATTCCCCTTAATCAGCATCTTGTATCGACTCAGATTTCTGTGCCAGCAGCTTTTCATGGTTCAACAATAGAGCAAATCAGCACAGAGGTTAAAGCCTCCCGTTTCTTTATTTCATCAAAATGTCCATGGACACTTGACCCACATCCCTGTGAGGACTAAAAGGTCAGCATAAAGAAAGGGAGAAGAGGCTTACAGCCGGGTCGGTTCGAGGGGAATATAAGGTATGCAAATGAGCCAGCTGTGTCAGAGTGTGGCACTGGAAATGAACTTGTTTTAGGAGTTCTGTGCTGAATATTTGACCAGATGGTGGCAGCTAAGACAGCTAATTTAAAAGAAATTATAATACCCACTGTTCAACTCGGGTGCATATCTGGGTGGAGTTGTTAAAACCGGTCTGTGATGTATTTTTACAGCCCGTGGCAGACTGTGCGCCCACATTCAGTCGAATACCTCGTGTGTGTATTTTCTCAACTTAATGGGTTTGTTTGCATGCATGTGCGTCTTGTAAAACAGCCCTGTGACTTTTACTGGTCTCATCTTGGAGCCATGTGTATTTGCTCTCGGGCTGAGAGACAGTCCCGTTGACGCGTTTAGTGGTCTGGTGGGGGCTGCCAACAACACCCCTTGAAGTTTTTGTGGGTCTAACCTGAGCAACTTTTTTTTTTAACCTGTGTATATATTTCACAAACCTCAGTGGCTTCTGTCAACAAGGAGGGGCGTTGCGGTGTCCAACTTTAGCTTTTCCCATGAATTACTCGCTGGGGGGTTGCCGTGACCCTTGGCCCCTGGTTGTCATCTCGGTAATCCCTGAAACTCAGGGTCTCTCATGGTAAACCTGTTGCACAATCACCGTCCCAAATTAGACTCTTGACCTCCAGGAACGAGGGGGTCTCCGGGGTTGCAAGATGACAGCTGGGGGAGGAGAGAGGGTTAAACAATCAAAGCTTTTGACTGGATGTTATTGGCAGAATGGGGATGAGTTTTAAAGGTTAAAGGTTTTGTTAAGCCTGAAGGATGAATAGACCCCCTGACATTCTGCACACGGCATGCGGAACATCTCAGAGTTGTCATCTATTTGGGTCGCCTGGGAAGGGAGGCTGTTGGTTCAGCTAAGTCTCAGAAGTGACATTTAATCTGAAGATGGTTTTAGAAGCAAGACGGCTCAACCTTTTATAAGTGGAACCTGAAATAGATTTGTTGACAGAGACTATTTGAGGAAAGTCGAATATCCTTAAGGTGCCTCAGAAACCAGATTCAAACTGGCATGAATTAACACCTTTTTGCTTCAAAATGTAACAGTTTGGCTCACTGACTTACTATTTCCAACAAATTTAGACAGCACTATCTTGAATTTTAATTAAACCATTTATTTTCGTGGTGCATGAGGAGCATTAGTATGTTTATGCACAATTGCATGAAATGTACGGACACCAGCAGTGGAGGTTTCCAATTCTATGAGCAGTTCTTAAAGTAGATTTGTTCCCGATGTTCAAAATTCAAGTCGAAACGGCAGGTTTCTGTAAAATTTTGAGACTATCCTTTAATTGAACTTTTCTTTCAACCTCAAAACGATAAAAACCTGCGGCATCCTGCCAGATAAGAACATCAGGGCCTGTTAACACTTTTTGTAACATCTAATAGTCTGGAGGTAGGGGTTAGGGTTAGGATTACCCTTTTCTTCCTTCACCCATCTTCCTTTCATTTTTGCTTTTTATGCCTTTCTTTGAAGAAACGGTCTGGTTTGTGTCACTGAGTGCAGCTCAAAGTGAAACATGATCAATCCGGTTCCATACCTAAGGAACCACAGTGGCGTCTTGAGGAAGTTCTCAATTTTTTTTTAACAGCTTCTCATTACAGCTGAAAAATGCCTATTTGCTTTAGTCACATAGACGACTTATTTCGAGAATGAATCAGCTTTGTACGACTTATGTCGGAATTTCTGATGCTGGTATCGAGATGAGGATTCAGAAAAGGTTTCCTTCTGTTGACTCTGATGAAGGTCATATTTGTGCTGGAATGGCTGCGCAATAAAACGGTGCACCTACACTCCAGAGTCTGGTCAATCTTTTTTATTGTCTTAAGCACTCAAAATTCTTTCCAACAATAAAATTAGTAGTCCTCTTAACATTTCATTGCTCTTATATGGCTCACATCAATTCCCTTATGTTATATGTACAATATATTATGAACTACTACCTTCCAACATTTTGCCATCTTTGAATAGTTTAACTTTGTTTTGTCAGGCAGCTTCTTATAAACACCTGCAGCCTCTAATCGATAAAATTTGTAGGTTTTGAAGAGACTGCTGTAACAGAATGCAATTTATATTGGCGCCTTTTTAACTTTGCCCGTAAATAAGCCAGCATCCTAACAAAATGATTTATATAAGTCTCCAAACTCCCTGACAATGTCTAATCTCTTACACAGGGCTCAGTTTCTCATTTTATTATAGTATTTTATCAAGTAAGAATCCTACACAAATTTTGCATATTATTTTAATATGATTTGTACGTTACACTGTATGCTACATAAGTTCTCCCTCTAACCACCAAGAAGCTTTGCATTCCTTTGTAAATCATTTTGACTTCCCTTTGACTGCTCAGCAGAACAATCATATTTCATAAGAGGAGGATTATTTTCCCTGGAGCTCTTGTATCCAGAGGCAGAGCAGCCAAAGGCTTCATCGTCGGTACTTCATGTTTTTGCTTCAAATCGGTGATGCATTTCTGTCTCTCTATTGGCTGACTTCTCCACAGTGGCAAGGAGAAACACAAGAGTTCTGCCCAAATGCCAAAGTGGTGTTGGTGGGCTGTAAGCTGGACATGAGGACAGATGTCAACACCTTGAGGGAACTCTCCAAGCAGCGCCTCATCCCTGTCACCCATGAGCAGGTGAGAACAAGCCCGAGATGGATATCTGAGGTGAAAGGGTTGGATAAATACAGATATAGAGTTGCTTCCCAAGGCACAGTGGAGGCTGAAAAACTGATTAGAAAAACCACAGCGGATGAGGAAACAAAATCAGAAAGCAATCCAGCGATAAGAGTGTTTCCATCTTGGATCAGCAATGATATTACTTTTATTGAGGTCCCACTGGAGGTTGGGAGCATGAGAGGAGTCTCATGCAACACAATCATCTACCACATGACCAGCATGAGAGCTGTGTGAAATCCCGTGGAGACATGTTGCTGCTGTTGGCATTTTACCCGGAATTTGCTGACAACCTATATGTCGCTTATGGCAAACACAGCGGAAGAACAAGCGACCAGTGAAGCTTATATCTGGAGACGTATTTTTCCCTGAAAGGAAATATTTGTGCAGATTTTCTGGTTTTTCAAACAAAATGGAAAAAATCTTTCATTTGTCATAAGCTGACAAGAGCTAAGACAATGGGACAGTAATTGGAGGCACTAAAGTCATGTTAAGAGTTTCTTAATTTTCTTCTTTAGGACCCAGTAAAGACAAACTTTACAAGTATATCCTAAACCTTATATATAGGAAGTTGTACATTCTTTTAACACTGTGCAATCTGCAGCTGTTTTGCTCCTTTTCATCCACTGTTTTAGCCTCTGTTTTAGCCTCTGACATTCCCAGAAGATGTGATACGGCAGATTTTATAAAGCGGAGGACAATAAACATTTTTGTGCCTGTGTTGTTATCCCGTTGTTGATTTTAAATTGAATTCCATCAGAGGCTGAAGAGTTGCCAGCAAGAGTGACCACAGAGTGAACTCCAGACATTTCCTCACTAATCTGCCCGAGATTCGATCAAGCTTTTTCCGCTTGTCAATGCAATCTCCACCTCGGCCCCCTCCAGCTGAATCTCAGGCTGCTGTTCCACCTAATGAGAGCTTCATAGCTACTTATGTGCGTCTGAGTGCATGGTCATGATAGGAATCAAACCACGTCCTCTGGGGGATGAAAAGCTGCCTCTGTGTTGGAGAACATGTGGTTTAAGGGTCACAGGAAATGCAGCACGGTCTCATCTGTCACATGTGTTGATCCTGTGTGAATTAAAAGCCCGTCGTGAAACAAGAGACGAGGACCACAGTAGTGCTGCAAAAGAGCAGGCAAGGGGGATGTTATAATTCAATTAGCCTGATTTGATCTTAAGCAAACAATTTACAGTCCTAATTATCGGAGTATATTGTGACATTACTCAGGGGTACGCTGGAGAGCTGAAGGAGTCCTGAACAGACCGCCTCAACGTCAGCCCAGTGGGCTCAGTGCTACTCCGATCCAACACTCAGTGTCTGCATCACTAATGTGCCAGACAGAGGAGCTTTATTTGTTTGAAGATGTGTAGATTGCGGGCATTTTATGGTCTAGATGAACATCTTTGTATGAGAACTGCTGCATCTTTGAGGAATATTCTGTTCTGATGTTGTGATATAAAAGCCTGATTATTCCAGGGAACAATGAAAGATGGTAACGCAAGCTAGAAGATTGTGTGTGATGTGCTCACCGTGATGTAAAGGGGAATCACGCTGAAGAGAGAACACACAAAAAAGGTCTTTCAGGATTTAGCAGAAAATGTTGTATCCCATCCCACTTTGCTAGCTTCCTCATTGCATTTTGCCTCTTTCTCTCTTCCAGGGAAGCACGATAGCCCGACAGATCGGGGCAGTGGCCTACGTAGAGTGCACCTCCAAGGTTTCTGAGAATAGCGTTCGCGACGTGTTCCACATCACCACCGTGTCCTCGGTACGACGGCCGCACAAGCCACAGCTAAAGCGGAGCACCTCCCGCCGGGGCCTGAAACGGGTGTCGCAGCTGACCCTCCCACCCCTGACGGACCGGACTGAGCAGTCAGACCAAACGCCGGCCATGAGGAAGGACCGGGCCAAGAGCTGCGTGCTCATGTAGAGACCTGACCTCATGAATATGCAGTAAATATGTACATACGAAAACCCGAGAAATATATGAGAGAAAAAGTCTATTTATTATTTGATTCTTTTTGTGCATTTTCTTCATTTTCTTGCACTGTTTCACAGTGAGAAACGCAGAAACGCTACACCGTGGAAAGAAATGCTTTGGGTTTGTTTTTTTGTGTGTGTGTGCGTGTGTGCATATTTTATAAGCTGTTTTCATTTTTTGTGTTGCTCTAAAATTGTGGCAAATTGGACTAACCCTCTGGACCTGCGGAAGCAGCGATAGTGGAAATGCTGTCTACTCTGGGGAATTAATTTCCTGACAGAGGATGGAACTGTGGTGCGTTGATGGAGAGTGTATGTAAGAGGAGAGCCATATTGATGCAGGATGTCTGCAGATGAAACTTGTACTTTTCAAAGACGGTGTTGCTGAGCAGACACGAGGACGTCTTGTTAAGCTGGGCTGCCTAAAGTTGCTTCCTGTTGCTACACTTGAAAGGAAAACGTGTATCTGTGGTAATGCTAAAAAGGGATTCCAGTGAGAAGCTGAATGACGACTCATTTAGAGCTGGATGTGAACCGAGTGGCTGACTGATACATCGTGATGGAGTGTGTGTGCGAGCATCACTACCACAAGTGCATTTTAGAAAAAAAAATGATTTTGTTTTGCCAATTTAACACAGTTCTTCTCATCAGCTGCAGCTGCATCGGATTCATTCACTGAGATTAACGCTATTGTCGCTCTTTTAAAGATGTTTTTTTTTTTGTGGAACATAAAGTGGTAAAATGTTAGGGCTATTTTGTTGTAGGCTACTTTCACTCAACTCTGAAATAAAGCAACAGCTTGGCTGCACTGGGAAAAGATTATTTATTGAAGCTTCTTTTCTGTTTATTATCTTTTATTTAAATGTGACAACCAATCTTAGGCTCACGATGATGAACAAGCCTTTCACTCCACGTGGACATAATACTTCCTTATTCTTTCATCTATCAGCTTTAAAAAATTTAATTTGTACACTATCATTTTCCAATGAAATGCATCACTCCTCTGTTGCTTTTAAAATCAAACGGTGCTGTTTATGTTCTCGGTAACGTTCAGAGTATGCAGACCTCTTAGCTGGTGAAAACTGAATTGAACTCTTGACGGGAGCCCCATTGCTTAGCTGTTCAGTTTTTAATGGACTCCAAGCTTGCTGTGATACTTTGATTTTCAGTCAAAGGAACAACATTTTTCCCTCAAACTTATGACTTATGACTTATTCTTCCAAACCATGACGGAGTTTTACACTTTTTCTTAAATTTTCTGTAAAATGCTCCAGTGGTCAGTCTCACTTCATACCCTCCCTCTTAAGTGGCTTGACCTACTGTCCAAAATGTTTTTACTTGGCACTTGCTTTATCCTGACAGCAGACAGTTGGAAGGGAGAGTTAATAACCCTGACTACTGTAAGTCAAAGCACTGTGCCAGCACCTAAAAGCTGCACCTTTATGGCTGTCAGTGTGGCAACTTGGCCGTGAAAACTTTGCTTATCCTTTTTAAACAATAAACTGGCTACCATCTGTGCTTAAATGATGGAAAGGAAGTAAATAAAGTCAAGACAAACACAAACAAAATGGAGGAAATAAAGATTTCTTATTCAAATTAGAGTACAAAAGATAACAAATCATCAACAGAAATGCCTTTAAAATAGATGCTCGTTTTCATTTGGATGCTGTCTTCTTATTTCCAGTAGGTTGAGAACGGCACAACAACAGAAACGACAGGAACTGGAAGATGTTGTGTACTTTGATTATTGTAAAGGTACCAGCACATTCACAGCTAGCTGTTGAAATGGAAGCAACATGACAGCACATACGGCAGTTCACCCCTTTGTAAAAATCTCACCAATAAAAGAATACATTTCTCTGTTTCAAATATCAGCTATGACAGCTATGGGGATATCTGTAAGACATAATAAAATTAAAAGATTCAGGCAATCCTGAGGGATCTCAGTTTGCAGGGGGAGAATATCTGGTTGGCTTAACCTTCAAAACAGACTCGGCTCTGTAGCAGGAATCACTGCGGGGGCTCGAGAACACTAGTGAAAACCATCTTCAGCAAAGCATCCACAAAATACAGACTCCACCAAGCACCAGAAATATTTTAGAAAAAGTATCTAGACACGGCGCCGCCTTCTCTTGATCAGAGTTTCTGTAAAACGGGCCGTACTGAAATTAAAAAACATTGTGTGGACAAGATGGACCAAACCAACACCAACAGGAATGGCTGAGATTTACAAAAGCAATTGTGAGTTGATTATAAGATTTGTCACTTGGTTGTAGGGCTGCACCATGTTAAACAAAATAATAAAACGAGGAAGCTACGAACCCCACTTTTACCTTCGAATGGGCACCCAAAAGGGAAATCCTAAAAAGGCGAAATACAGGTATGTTCAGACATTGTTTTTGCTGTAAACATTTGAAACGTTGGAGAAAATACAGCTGGTACTATGCTGGAGGGGGGGGAAAAATGGAGAGCTGTTGGAAGGTGCTACCCAGGGCAGGAAGTAAGCTGTGAAAAGGATGGTAACATGCACAGTGGGGGGCATGAGACCTGCTGTGCCCCCACAGTTCAGACTGACACTTGAGAGGATTACGCTCTGATTGTAGTGTGTGTATATGAGTGCATGTGTTTAATAGGGGGGCATCATCTCTGCTGCACTGGCCAATAAAGCATTCATCCAGACACTGATATTGATGCGTACGTCTTGTCAAGATAAATAGAAATCAGCTGCTGCTTTGTTAGTGAAATCAGATGGGCATCAGACTTTATCTTGACAATCTACTCCCACTCACAGGCAGGATTATTACTGCAGGATGTCTCGCCTCCATTTCAGCAATCTAATCAGCCATTTGCCCTTTAACGCTGAGACGGCAAGAAGATTAGAAGTACCTTTGTGAGTTCACCCTTCTGATTTCGCATTCTCGAGTTTGCCTCCTTTTCTCTGCCATTACAAGCGGCTCTAACAGGCACAGAGAGCCCAGTCATCTTCCCCCTGAGTGAGCAGCGCTGACGTCATCTGCACAGGAAACACAGGATTGTAGATGTTCCAGGCTAATTACAACAATTCGCAGAAGGGGTTGTGTCCCTGGAAATGAGACAACAGGCCGACTGAAGGAGAGTTCCAGAGACGCGGTGCTTCCTGATGAAAAACGCCACGGAGCAGGGCCTGAAATTGCGCACGGTCATGAGGGAATTTGTAATGACAAGCCGTATGTGACCAAGCTGAACTCGCACGCGCACATTCTCAGGAAGCCAGCGCAGATTGTCGGCATTCCACGTCCAAGCTGCAGGAACTGACTACCACTGTAATGCCAAGCAAATGCTTTCAAGAGTATATCAACGCGACAGCCTTTCCTCTGCCAATTCAGTTTCAGGTTCCCCAGCAGTCGAGCCCCACAGAGACCCAACTTAACTACTCCCTGTAGTTGTTAAGCAATGAAGACTCCAACTTCAGAGATTAACTACCTTACAGCTGGATGATTTCTACATGTGAAGTGCTGCTAATTAAAATGTGCAAGTGTGTTTTCATACGGTTTCTCTCTCTTCCTCTGTGTGTATCTGTGTATTTATGTGTGTTATTTCACATTTGTCTGTGGGTCTGAAGTTACATCTGGGACTAGCATGTTATTATAGAGACATTTTATTTGTATTTTTTTCATGTCTTTTGCCATGAGAGGAGAAGGAGGGAGAGGCCTGACTTATAGTGTGTGAGTTGATGTGTTCAGCGGTATCCCATCTTCAGGTGAAAGCTCACATATTTCCCAGAGGGATTCGGGGTTGTGAGAATGCTTGTTTGTGTGACTGAGCTGTGTCACAGGAGGTTTGATAAAACAAAAAAGATGGAGGATATTGGCTGTGATATGCAGTATCCGCAGCTTGAGTCCACATGCATCTTGGAGAACATCGGTAGAAAATGAACGAGCGTCTTTCCTCTGTGACACTGAAATATGCATTTGAGGGTTTTCCAAAGATTTCATGGCAGCAGTCGGCCAAAATTAGCCTCTTTTTTTTAGACTAAAAAACAAGCCCTGCTTTCACCTGATGAATGCTAAGTGATTTTCTCTTCAGCATGCAAACATAATAGTGCCATAGTCGACAGTAATAATAGGTTGTTTCCCCACTTTGTAGATAATTGTCTCAAAAGACATTTACACAGTTTAAATTTCTAGATGGCTTCCAAAAAATGTCACACAATCAAAACATCAGACATGAGATTGCAAATGATTGCATAGCCACTATGCATTTTCACTCAAATTAAAATAATGTAATTTTAACACAAATACAATGTCCTAATATCACTTCAGGAAGGTATCTGAGGGAAACCATATACAGGCTTTTGTGTTTTGGATACAAATGAATCCAGCTGTTCCTTTGTTTGATGATGGGTTTTCATTTTTTGCAGCTCAGAAACTGATTTTTTATTTTTTTTCTAATTGAATTTGCTTTGACAATGTGTGATGCACATTGCACCACGGTGATGGTGTATTACAGATATTTAATCCAAGAACAGGCAATGGGCAAAACGAGACACAAACTCAGTCACACCCTGTCAAAGGCAAAAAGGCTTTTTACCACAAACAATGTGAAAGATTTAGCTGTGAGTATTTAGGACCAGTGAAAGCAAGAATGTGCCTGATCTCTTTTGGAAGAAGGATATGCATACATATATTTAAAGAACCATTTGACTCAGGTTACTCTTTGAAGACAAAATCAACTCAATGGGCTCTATGGAAACGAAAATGAAATAAAAGTCAGCATATTTATTTCACACCTTAGCTGAAATGCAGGCTGAGCATCTGTGTTGATTACTAACAGTGGTAAATGGAGCTTGAAAACTAAAAACTACCTCTAATTCTAGGTCTGGAAACCCTGGGAACTGCACGTAGTCCTGCTCTCTGAGAGCTGTATTGAAAAAAAAAGGGGTCAATGAGCTCTTAGATGAGGCAACAC